GACAAGATTGGCAAAATTGGCAAAACATTAACAGGACAAACAAAAAGAGAGAGAGGGAAAAGATACAAATTATCAAAATCAGAAATATAAGAGTAGCTAGTACTATCAATCCCACAGAAATAAAAACGTACTATAAAGAGAATATTATAAACAACTGTATACCAAGAAATTAGATAACCTTTATGAAATGAACAAATTCTAAGAAACACATAAATTACCTAATCTAACCCAAGAAAATGCACAAAATATCAGCCAATCCATGACACAATGATTAAGTTAGCATTGGAAAATTGTCCCACAAAGAAAACTCCCAGCCAAGGGGAGATTTTTTTTTTTTTTTTTGAGACTAGTCTCATGCTGTTGTCCAGGTTAGAGTGTCATGGTATCAGCCTAGCTAATAGCAACCTCAAATTCTTGAGCTCAAGTGATCCTCCTACTTCAGCCTCTCGAGTAGCTGGGATTACAGGTGCCCACCACAAACTCAGCTAATTTTTCTCTGTTTTTAATAATGATGGGGTCTTATTCTTGCTCAGATTGATCTTGAACTCCTGAGCTCAAAGGATGCTCTTTTCTCAGCCTCCCAGAAAGCTAGGATTACAGGTGTCAGCTATTGCAGTTGGCCTTTATGATGAATCTAAGAGGGTGTATCACAAAGAGAGCTAAAAGGATGATTCGTAGTTCTAGGCACTAGAACACACTATTTTCCCCATAGAAAGAACCTGGCTGGCTGTTCAGAGAAATACTGGTTCTACGTCTTGCATAGGAAATACACAAGATGACCCTGGAAAATGTTGTCATATCAGAAAGCAAACAAGCTTTCAAAGACTGTTATGGTTGTTGAAAGACTCAAGATGAATTGTGTTGAGTCATCTTCATGCCTAAGGAAGTACAGTTTCCGGTTTTGGATAACAACTCAGTAGATTGAAACATGTCAATTCTTTTAAACCTACGATCTTTCAATCCTATGGTAACAATAATGATGACAGTACTCACTCTTTAGCTGTAGTTGATATTAGAGAACCAGCTCATTATTTTGAAAACCGATAAGTCAAATTGAAGAATTAGGCCTTTATTCTAGCTTAATGATAGAATTTGTACCACCTGATAGCTAAATAATGAGGGAGATTTCTTTTTATAGAAGTATGCTGGCTTTTAAAGGGAGAGGAAATGAAACAATTAGAATGTCATCCTCCAAAAAATTAATGGCTCTAGGAATAATCAGTTATAACTGCTAACATCTCAGGAAGAGAAAGAACCAGGCATTTTGCACCTCCAGACTGCAGAACACGCAATGGCCTATTTGAAACAAACAAACCAACCTGATCCAGGCTGTAGACTTGAGGGTCGACTTACTGGAAACCCAAGGACAGGTAGGCACAGTAAACGGCCCCATATGGACACACTCCCTGAAATCTAGACTGAGGGAAACTCTAAAACATAAACACAGTTTATTTTACCTCCTTCATGTTTACATGGATGGAGCTTGAAAATGTTCTTCTTAGTAAAGTATCTCAAGAATGGAAGAAAAAGTATCCAATGTACACAGCTCTATTAGAAAACTAATTTATAGCTTTCATATGAAAGCTATAACCTTATTATAGCCTAAGAATATGGGGAGGCGGAAGGGAGGGGGGTGGATGGGTGGAGGGAGGGTGATTTCAGGGATCACCTCTATGGTTTATCTTACAAGGGTACAAGTGAATCTTTCTAAAAGTAGAATATGGCTCGGTGCCTGTGGCTCAAGCGGCTAAGGTGCCAGCCACATACACCTAAGGTGGCAGGTTTGAATCCCCAGCCCGGACCCGCCAAACAACAATGACGGCTGCAAACAAAAAATGGCCAGGCATTGTGGCGGGCGCCTGTAGTCCCAGCTACTTGGGAGGCTGAGGCAGGAGACTCACTTGAGCCCAGGAGTTGGAGGTTGCTGTGAGCGTGATGCCATGGCACTCTACCCAGGGGGATAGCTTGAGGCTCGTCTCAAAAAAAAAAAAAAAAGTAGAATATAAACATCTTAACACAATAACTAAGAAAATGACATGAAGGCTAAGTTAACCAGTTTGATGAAAATATTTCAAATTGTATATGAAAACACCACACAGTATCCCATGATTGCATTAACATACACAGCTATCATTGAATAATAAAAAAAAGAAAACCAAAGACTAAAATCAACAAAACAAACAAAAAAACAAACACACTAAAACATCAATAGTAACAGCCAAAGGAAAAAATGTAAGACAACAGAAGGGAAGGAGGTAAGAATGTGTATTAAACGAGACATACCAACCATTCATAATCTTTGGATCTTATTCATACTTTGATCCAAATACGGAGACAGGAGACAATTTAATGCACGCCTACATAGGTGAGGAACTTATTTCAATTCAAGCTGGTGGGAGGGGTAACCCAGGAGGGACAGAAGGAGGGAATTGGGGTGCTCTTACTGAATGGGCATGGGGGGAGTTGGCACACCTTTTGTGTGGGGGACAGAACCACGAGAGGGACTCCATCTAACAAAATCAAATATTTTGACCTGGTGATTTGTACCCTCACATTAGCCTGAAATGAATTTATTAAAAAAAAAACTGTAAGGCAACCAATGAGATATTTACATGACTGAATATTTCACGGTAGTAAGGAAATACTGTAATTCATTTTACGTGTGACAGTGGTCTTTTGGTTACACTAAAACAGACATCTTTATAGAAAAATAGAAATATATACAGAGGAAATGGTCTGATGCTCCAGAACTTAATGAGGGAGGCACAGATGCAACAAGAATGCCTGAAAATTGGAAATGGTTAAGGTGGATACTGAGTACATGAGCTTTCTAATATCACTCTCTCTGCATGTGTGTGCACTTGAAATTTTTCCTAGTAAAATTTGCCATCTGCTCAGTATAAAATATTAAGAATATATATTCCACAAGCTGCAACTTTCCCTCACAAAATTATTTCTCTTACAGTGTGTTTTCTTGCTCCTAGGTATGGTTATGTGAAGAAATTTGGATGGAACAGAGCCTACCTATCAGAACTGAGGCGCTGACTCCACGTGGGCGACCACCAGCCACGCGACTCCGCCCCTTCCTTCCAGGCCTAGCGCTGAACTCTGTAATAACCCTCAGCCATGAGCGCAAAGCCAGGACACCTGTACGCTGCAGAGTGACGTTCTTGTAAGCTAATGATGCAGGGTGGCCCCGTGGAAAGCAGAGCCAAGCCCTGGGTCATTACCAGCCATTTCATTTTAAGGCACCCAGGGAGCAGCTTGGGAAATCCAGTCCCTCTCTTAACAATACCTGTACCCCCTGTGGGCCAGGGGACAGCACCAGCAGAGCGAAGCGGCTGCCTGCCACTGCCAGGGTTATGTATTTGATACTGAGCAGGAGCCCTGTCCCCGGCATGTTTCCCTTTTGCCATACAGCCAATATACTGATAAAGACTTTGTACCTTGTTTACATTTTCCAGAGCGACCAAACTTGTCACCCACAGGTGTTTGAGCTTTGCAGCATCCGAGGTGATGGGAAGTGTTTCTTGCAGCTTTAAATTCTCTCCCCAGATCCCCAGTAAGCCTTCTTTACTGATAGTCACATACCGACAGGAACTTTTTAGGAAAGTTACTTTTTGAATGGTGTCCTTGTGTTTCACTGGGAGGAATTCAAGGTCCCTCCACTGGGGAACCACGGTCGACTTTGCCCGTTCCTCTTCTTCATAAAGGGCAAGAAGTATAAACGAGGTCAGCTTGTCCCACGTGATGAAGCCATCCCGGGCTACGTCCACTTTGTCATAGAGCTCCCCGTATTCCTCCCTGGTGCCCCAGCCGACAGCCTCTGTCATCCTCTGCGTGAACTGTTCTCTGGACATGCGGATGGTTTTCCTTGGCTCTGGAGACTGGAAACAGGAAACAAAGGAAAGGACAGTGAGAGCATCATAGATGAGAGCATAGGCTCCCTCCAGGTGGACTTAGTCAGCAGTTCTTCCGCCCTGCGAGGAAAAACGTCTTTTACTTCACAGCAGTATCATGCTTAAGTGAATTTAAACTGGGAGCAAATAATTGACAGGTTTAGAAGCTGCTGTTCTCAGTCACACACATTCTTATAACTGGAAGAGGAGTAGGAAAGATGGACAGAGTGTGACAGTGTCAGCAGAGTGACATGGCGCTCTGAGCCAGGGAATCCAGGTGGCCTGCACAGAAGATAGAAAAGCCATGGAAGGCATCTCCCTTAGAGCCTCCAGGAGCAAAGCAACCCCAAGGGCACCTCGATGTCAGCCCTGCAAAGCCCATTTCAGACTTCTGACCTCCAGGACTGTGCATTAGCAGATATGTGTGTTCTAAGACCCTGTTCATGGCAATTTGCTATGAAAGCAATAAGAAACTGATGCCAAGTACATCTTTTCTGATAGTGTGTCTTTTATAAAGTCAAGGCTTGTGGAAACCATGTCAACTCCAATAGCAGATGCTTAATTCATGTCTCTGGGTCACATTTTGGTCATGCTTGCAATATTTCTAAGTTCTTTTTGTTACTACGTCTGTTACAGTGATCTGTGGTCAGTGACCTTCCATGCTACTATAATTACTGGGGGACTTCACAAACCATGTCCATATAAGGCAGCCAACTTAATCAACAAATGTTTGATTAAGAACAGAAAGGGAATATAC